ACACTGCAGTCACATATTTCGGCACATTTAAAATTAAAATTCTTTTTCCCTTTCCATTCCAAAAAAGCTGCGCATTAACATGATATTGATGCGACAATAAAGCCGAATAAGCCAGTTTTTTTGTCCCAGTGGCATTGGCATAATTAACGTGCCCTTGGTACTGCTCATCCTCTTCCTTTGATCATCTGCTTATGAAATTGAACTCTGAATGTGCAAGCAGTTACTCAGACTCTTTTCCGTCTTCAAGCTAATCGGTCTCCGGCATCACCTATGAAATGACTTTTCATTCATTGATGGCTTATATAACACCTTATTTATTGATAATTAGTAATCTTAATAAATCTAATATCAACACTTGCCTGGCTTGAATCTGGGTTAGAGAAAGTAAGTCGTTTCTCAACCTCTGCAGAACTCATGGGAGAATTCGATACATCAAAATTTTGATTTTATGCAAAAATTGGCATATTTTTATATCATAAATCACACTTGCAAAAAGGCTATTTGTCCAATCAGCATGTGGAAGCGTTTTTGCGGATAATTTGTTGTGAGGCGCGTTATCACCAGCCTTTTGAGTTTTCTTACCATCTTAATTCACGATCTTATTGCGCCTTTTAGCTGTGAGCCAGTAAGCGGTAAGTCCATCCCCTATCGGTGCATCTGCCAGCCGGGCTTCGGAGGCGTCCACTGCGACACTCTGACCAGTAGGTCTGCGGCAGCCAGTGCAAGCAGCGCATGCGCGCACGCTGAAGCGCTACTAGCAGCCACGAGCTCGCCGACGCCGGTGTGCTACCACGGCACCGCTTGCCTTGATGGTCCCAGTGGGCCCACTTGTAAATGCGCATTTGGCTGGCGTGGGGGACGGTGTGAACACGACTTGGACGAGTGTCGCCTCGCCTCGACGGCCTTTGCTGCCGCAGCTGCCGATGATGACGGCACCTATGACTATGGCCTAAACGCTGACGCATTTGGTGCTGCTATTGACCCTCTTTGTAACCCCTATGGCTCGCCTCGCGGTGTCTGTATCAATCTTCCCGGCTCCTATCAGTGCAACTGCAGCCTCGGATACACTGGGAGAAACTGCCAGATTCGCGTACGTCTTCATGCATTAATATTTCTGCTACTTGCTCGTAAGTGTTGCTACGTTTTGAGGCGAAAAATTTATTCATATTGTCTTGAAAATATCATCTGCAATTATTTTGTTGCACTACTTTAATCCTCCACTGTATATTGCATAATTTGCCTGTCAGCTTTTTACTGAAACCACTCTTTTCAGTCCAAGCTTTTTTGATGGACTCAATTTGCGATCCAGGGATCATTTTTGTGCTCTATGTAGCGTAAAGGATAATCTTGTGGTAGGCTGCTTAAAAGGCTAGACTTTTACGTAGGGTGCGTGCAACCTCACTCCTGCCACTAATGCGTTTAATTTCGACGATGGACTTTGGTAGCATGGATGTTGTGCGCACTAATCGTGTCACCCAACTTGGAGGTCAAAGTAATGAAAAAATGCGTCATTTAAAGCCGTGCTATACCTTGGTCTGGAGTTACACGACCAGATACCGGACTGCTAGACGTCCTTTATGTTCCTCCTGCTTGCAGCAAACAAGCCCTCGCCATTGGCATGAACTTCAGTTTTAATTACCTTGGCGCATCCTCAATAATCACTTTATCCTACCAATTTGCTCATTGATTTCCTCAAACTATTTATTAATTTGCCTTTAGTGTTTTAGTTCATATCCTCCACCTTGCTTAAATAATGGCGTTTACCACGATTTTATGTCCCCTTGATTTTCAGTTGTTTTATAAGCAACACTAACGGCGGATATTTTATTGGCTTTTTAGAGCTTAATACTGTGACAAAAATTGAATTTTGACGCTATGTCAACGCTTAGATTTGTGTGAAATGGTATACATTTTCATGGTGGGACAATGTTCGCCTACCCACTTTCTTTATAATCATTTTCCCCTAGAACCTCACTCCACTGAAGCCTGACTCGAATGCTCTGGGTCTAACCCCGATGCACGGCTACATAATTGCGGGCATATTTGCGCTGATCTTCCTGTTCGCCGTCATCACAGTGGTTGTCCTCAAATGTTGCTTCCGTCGTCACTCTTCCACCCATTTCTACAGTGTACGCAATGCCGGCCACTCAAACTCATCTCTCTTCTCTGGCTGCGACAAGATGATGACCACGGGCCTGTTGCGGCCTCAGCAGCAGCAAGTGAAACTGCTCGAGTCGGCTCGCATGCTACCCGATGGTGGCGACTGCTCAGTCACTTATTCACCAACGAGGGCGGGTCCTAGGGGTTCGATAATTCTGGGACCCGGACGACGGGTTCCCACTCCCGATTTCTGCAGACAGTCGTCCTACATTGTGGACGAAAACGGCCGTCTCGTTGTCCTGCGACCCAACAGTATCGTGGGAGGAGGCACAGTACCGGGCGAGCCCCTTCAAATGGTCTATCTTGGTGCGTAAGGCTTAGGCTTTCTCTTTCTTCTGTTGTCTCTTCTCACAGCAACATTAAAAGACTTCTAAAATAATGAACGCTACGCTCGTTAGCATGAGTGATATACAAGCACGGTAAAGGACTAGCATTAATGTTGATCTGATTAACTTTCTTATGAATAAACGTGAAATCGCTCGATGTTTATATCGTTTGGCAGTGACTTCCTGCATAAATCTTCAAATAATCGTTGCGATGCTTGGATATGTAGTCAACTTGATTTGGAAGGTTCTCCCTTCTCAACTCGGGTTTTCTTTATTGGAAAATAGTTTGTATAGACATAACATATGCATAATGTGCATGCGTTTAGGTGGTGGTGCTAGCGGTACGACCGTGGGCTGTATACCGGCCCCCTCGACACTAACACGCCGAGGTCACGTGGATTGTGGGATGCCTCAGCGCGTCGCACCTATAACACCCCATCACCTTCACCATCCCCAGCAGCAGCCATCAACACAGCAGCAACGTCCCGGTTCCTCCAACACCACGACCTCGGATCGAGCCTCGCTGGGTTCCGGCTCTGACCATTTCTCGGTACAGAGTAGCGGACAGCGACAGACGCAGCTGGCGCCGTCACAGGTGTCACAACCCCTTTTCTACGTCTATCCACAGTCTGCGGCTTGCGTCAGACGCTCACAGATCATCTACCCTCACCAGGTCCTTGCTTCCGAGGCGCTTACTCCCCTTTTCTACCGGCCCAATGGAAACAGTGTGGGCAACCTCTCCGCTTCAGGTAAGAATCCTCTCTGATCTCGTAGATGGGTCCCACGAGAACGGTGCTTTGTGCAACGTTTTTGCATGGCTACATGCATGCACACATTCTCATCTTCTTCTTCATGTTGCCATCTTTGTTGGCAAAGCATCGTGGTTTGACTTACGGCGGGTCCTCTCAAAACCCATTTGGCCTTCTGATTTCGCAAAATTGTGATCACTGTCAAACATCCATGAGTTCTTATCATGAGAAGTACTGTCTAGGTTGCAAAGTAAGCGTCTTTAGTAAAATACACCTCTCAGTAACCAAGTGATTTTGGATCAAATTTGTCATAGCTTCTGAAATAGGTTAAACAGTCAATTTGCTTTCGTTGATATTGAGGATTAAAGTATTAGGATTTTCGTTTTGATATCTATTATTTACCTGGGGTTTGTGCTTATGATATTTGGTTATACGCTAGTAATTATTGCGCATCTATACCTTACCTTAAGATTTTAAGACCATATCGTATCGAGCGATTCGCCCCTTTATAGGGAGGGTGCTTTTTCTTTTAATGAAAAAATTTACGCGAAACAGGAATTTATCATTCTAAGTTATCAAAGCAAATAAACCTCTTGCGACTGAACTGAAAAAAACAAGGTGACTTCAAAAGCCATACTTTGATTTAGCAGTGGTCGGGGTTTGCAGATCACATTCAGCCTTATCATCGTAGTCGTCATTTGCAGTAGCATGTTCATTTTCTCGGATTTCGGCTGTTCGGTATTGCATGCACTGTTGTCCTCACCCGATCCCTACTCCCGCAACTAGGCCGACTGCCCCCCAGCGACCACCGCTTAGGCCTTTTTGGCGTACCGAAGGCAGAAGTGCTCAACCAGGTGATCCCACTGCAAGCTATTTCAAATGGGTCGGTGCGACCTGCGTCC